ACTTCACTAACGTCACCTGCCTTCCGTTTCGCACCTTCGGCCTCGCCGTTCTCTCTTCCTTCTCCTCTCGCACGCTCTCCCTCTGCCTCCTCCTCTCCTCCACCTCTCTAAGCCTCTCTTCCTCCACTCTTGCCAATGCTCTCCTCGACTCTTCGGTCGACGATGGTTTCCCTCTATGCCTCGACTGCCCATTCAACGTAGCTCCCGTCAACGGAAGCCTCGGAGCCCCTTTCTCAATGTCCACAACCATCGTCGCATCCACCATCACTCCCCTTCGACCCAATTCCTCTACCTCTTCCCGTGTTAAATTCGAACCCGCCGCAACTCCGAACACTTTGCCCAAATCCGGGGACTTCTCCGAGTCGGCGCACGATCCGTTCAGCATGGTGCAAGCCCCTCCCGCGCACATTTTCAACCTCGACACAAACACCAGTCCCGTGTCGATCGACCTTCCCGCATCCTTCGTGTAGAATTTTCTAAGACCATGCCTGCAACCAGAGTTATGCATACTCCTTTCTTCAGACAGACGGAAACAACTGTCTTCTGCAATTCACCACGATATTTAGAAATATTTGGAAAAATATTTGACAACAATTGTTCTTTGCTGTTCACAACAGTTTCTTCATTATGCTTCATTACGTATCTATGTCGATAACGTTTTCTCTCATCTCAAGTCCTGACGTTACGCGGCCAATCCAATACTTCCATGACTTGTTCACCAGTTTGCATTGGATCAGCCTCTTGCAATCCAACAATTGGTTGTTGTATCTCACGTCTCCTACTAGCCTAACGTTTTCTACGGCCTTTTCGAAAATCAGCTTTTTGCACGACCAACTAAGGTCTCTGAATCCCACTTGATACTGCCAGGTCGAGCATATGCTATCAAACAACTTGTTAACTTTTCTCAACTTGTTCACTCTCTTGCCCCAATACCCCCTCTTTGCCTCGCATACAACCATCCTAAGGATCTTTTCGGTAACATCTTCCGGGAGTGGCCATCCACTGCACACACCACAAATGAAAATGCGCTGTCAGATAACTCACTTGATGAACACCAATGGTCCAGACGTGGGCGTCAACCTTTCCTTCGAAAAGTCCTTCACCCCGCACGGCTCTCTTGCCGTGACTGCTCCGACACATGCAGCTCCATCGTCCACATCCAGTCTCGCAACCACCCAATCACTCAGCGCATACCTTTCCTCTCCAACCAGTTTCAGCTCCTCCTCTCCTTTTTTTTGCCCCACCCCTTCATCCACTTCCGCTTCCTTTTCAATCTCTCCTTCTCTTTGCATCCAAGGCCCCGCTCCACCCCCTCTTCTGTCCAACTCCTGCTCCTCTTGTCTTCTCGCACTACCCTTCTTCTTCGCTTCGTCCCACAACCTCCTTTGCTCTTCCACCTCGTCCACCGTCACCAGGAAACAACTCTCGTCCTCCGGTGTTTCATTCAGATCAACTTTCCCTCCCGACCTATACTCCCATCCCCTTGGCCACTTTTCCACTCTTCTCTGATCATGCCGATGTGTGCTGCTCTCTGTAAGCTCCCCTCCTTCAACTCCACCTTTCCGAATCGATGTCGACGGTCCTCCATACCCCACTCCCAGACTCTGCCTTCGCCGCCTTTTTCTTTCCCTCTCTCCTTCCTCCTCTTCCACTTCAAGACCCTCACCGCCTCCTCTCGCTCTCTCGAAACTTCTCTTCCGAGACTCCGAACGCATTTCCAGCTCCCCCAGGCTCGGGCCTCCGCCCACCACACCCGCCCTTTCAAACTCCATCCTCTGCGCAATCTGGATCAGCGCTTGCTTCGCCTGATTCTTCACCACCTGACCCGTGCTCAAATAGCCTCCTCCTTTCCCACCCTCTCTCGTCCAGAACGCCGCGTTGTCGACTTCGGCGAGGTTCGCCGTCGGGTTAATGAACCCGGCCAGCCTCATCTCGTCCTCCATCGCCTCTCTATTCGCGGGAAGGCCCCAGAGACCGATTTGGTGTGCCCTGATTCATTTGAAAAACTATATGTCATGTGTTCAAAATTCTGCATCTACAGTTTGGGTCCACACGATATCCTAGATGAAAGTGTTGTTGTACCTGTGACAACTACAGACAATTAGTAAGTCCCGTTGAACGGGACTATCTCTATACGCACGAACAGTCTCACATTTTCTAATGAGCTTCAAGATCGTCTATGACAATACATTACAGTATTCAATCCAGTCGATTGTTGAAATGCAAAATCAGTGTGCCACTTCGTTTCTAATTAGTCCCGTCAGACGGGACGAAATCATATTCAAATTTCGGTCCGATATTCCATATACAAAACTTACGTCCTTACCTGTGAAACCAGAAATCAGACCAATTCTTTGCTTCTCTCCACAGTTGGCCGTCTCCGAGTTTCGCGTCGTACCAGTTCTGTGAAAGTATAAAACCTCATTCAAGAGGCCGTTCATAGCTGAAATATGTTCTACATCGTGAACCGCTGGCTCGAACTCTTAACGAGCATATGGTTCAACAAAGCAAACAAACGCACAGACATGCAAATTGTGCGTCAAGCAACACAATATATAACTCACCCTCAAAGCCTCCTTTGCCACCTCTTGCTCTT